GTGCACGCCGCCGAGGGGCGCGCTGCTGGGTCGGGATGGTCTATAGGATGGGGAGCGGGGCCTGTCTGCCGACCCCCGCTTCGGCGGGTGCGGTGGTGAGGGGGTGGCGGTGCGGGATGGGGATGGCTCGCGTGCGCTGCAGGGCTGTGACCGCAAATCGTATCCCTCCTCCTCCTCCTCCTCCTCCTCCTCTTCCTCCTCCTCCTCCGCCTCCTCCTCCGCCTCGTGTGACTTCGTCCGCTTCGCTGGCGGCCTCGTGCGCAGGCGAGCCGCCAGCGACTCCCAGGATATCTTGGAGGAGGCCTGGGAGTTGATATGCCTGGGTGATCTCACGTGCGTGCTGTGCGAGCGCGGGGCACGGTGCAGGCTCCACGATCCCGAGCCTGGTGACGGTGGCTCGGACCTGGACCTCCCTCCTCCTGGGCACGCGCTCCGTCGGACCATGTCGCACGGTCATTTCAACACTATTGTATTATGTAGGAACTCCTCTAGCTCCTCCACCGCCCTTCGGCGCCCTGGTGCAATTCAGCTTGAAATTTCTCGTCTGCCTCGCCGCCAGACGTGCGCCCTGGCTCTGCTATGCCGCTCGTGCCCGTGGCCTGGCACGCCGTGCGGCTCCACGATTGCTGGTCGTGCTTGTTTTTTTGTTTTCTTTTTTTCTTTATTTCTTTCTCTTTCTCTCTCTCTCTATATATATATATATATCCATATTCACGTTCCGCTCACGCGCCAGAGAGAGCATCTCACCGAGGCTCGAAGACTGTAGAACTATTCACCGCCAGAGGCACAGATCTTGCAGTGGCAGGAGGCTGGTAGCCCAACCGCTACCCTGGCCCAGCGAGCGTGGACGGGGACCCGAAGTCATCCCGCCGACGTCCACCAGGCAAGGGCAACGGAGGGGCAACCAACCACCAAGAGCCACAAAAGAGCACCCCAAGAAAGGGTGGAAAGAGGGTGGGGAGCAAAAAAGTCGGACTACGGACACAGAATCAACTGAGTTTCAATTCGTCTGATGACTGTGCAAACCACGGCGCTCCCGCCAAACATAGATGGATTATCCCGCAAGCTAAGGAACATCCATATTCACGTTCTGCTCACGCGCCAGAGAGAGCATCTCACCGAGGCTCGAAGACTGTAAAACTATTCACCGCCAGAGGCACAGATCTTGCAGTGGCAGGAGGCTGGTAGCCCAACCGCTACCCTGGCCCAGCGAGCGTGGACGGGGACCCGAAGTCATCCCGCCGACGTCCACCAGGCAAGGGCAACGGAGGGGCAACCAACCACCAAGAGCCACAAAAGAGCACCCACACCCGCACCAGAGTAGCGTTCCGGCCGAAGGCTTAAGAGGAGGAGCCTCCGGCACTGATGAGGTGAGACATCATCAGTGAAGCAACGGCCCGAGTGAGCTGGCGAGGATAAGGCTGAGCGCGGAGGGTCCAGAAGGTTCCTGTCGGGTCTTTGCCCCGAAGCTCGACGTGGGGCTTTCCAGTCCTGGAACACACACCGCGGCCAGTGCACGTTTTTCCCACGGCCGAAAGGCGAGAGCAAGACAGGAGGAGCAGACGGGCGGGCTTAACCCAAAGCTCTCCATATTGACAGAAATGAAGCACCGTGAACGTAGTGTCATGAGATAATCGAAAATCTAGCATCTGAGGCATGTCCCATAAAAAACTCGTGTTAGGGTTTTCCAACACCGCTGGGACGCCGTGAGCTGCTGCACATCGCATTAGCACCAGTGAGACCTCTAAAAGACGGTTCCCGTTCTCGACCTTGGCGAGGTCGGAGGGAGGAAGCCCAGGGCGGCCCTCCAGGTGCCAGGGATCCCGAAGAGGCCCAGGGCCGCGACCGTCATTTTTACGGGCCCGAGAAAAAGAAGTGCACGGCGTGCCCAACCAGAGGAAAAGACACCTACCAGAGGCGATGTGCGACAGCACACAGCGCAGTACGTCGTTGTCCAGCAGGTCGCCAGCGGGGCCGTGCTCGATGTCCCAGGTCAGCGCCGGGATGCCCAGCTCCGCGAAGGATTTGGCCAGCCTCCCGCTGCCCGAGAAGATTTTGATTATAAACCCGCCGCCGAGAGACCGCGGCAGGCTCCTGGCGGCCGAAGGGACGGCTGCCACTCGCCGCGAAGGACGAGCGAAAGGTTGGCCTCCGCCTCCTGGCACCAGCGGCTGGCCTCGGGCGTCAGGGCCTTGTGAAGCCTTTGCGCCCTGCCCGCCTTCATGTAGCGGAGCAAGGTGCGATCGTTCGCCCAGCGCCCCCGCTGCTTGACCGCCTGGATCTCCCTCGTCTTCATCAGGAAGTCCCTCGACGCCCCTCCGTGGCGCAGCTGGTGCATCTCGAGGTTCAGCGAGCCCAGGCCCGCCGCGCGACAAGCCGCCTGAAAGCGGCGCAGCAGCTGCGTCTGGCTGAAACTGAAGAGCCAGACCTCCGCGTCCCCTCCGCGCAAGCCAGCAAGGAGGGCCCCCAAGCCGGGGAAGTCGGGGCTGTCGAGCGGGAGCGTGTCGTCGAACTGGCCGACCTTGGTCGGCTCCTCCCTCTCGAACGGCCGCAGGAGCAGACTCCAGCACGCGAGGGCCACGCCCGCGTTGGCCACCGGCTCGAGGAGGTCGCCTTCGACCACCGTCAGGAGCTCGGACGGGCGCAGGTAGCAGCAGAACATGAGGGCCAGCGCCAGCACCTCCTCGTGAAAGCCGTGGAGCGACAGGATGCCCAGGATGCCCGCCAAGAGGCGGAACGGTAAAGGGTCCCTGCTGCCCACAGGCCCCTTCCGATGCCAAGCTCGAAGAACTCGCCGAAACCGAGGAAGGCTGGGCTTGCCGAGCCGCTGCGCGTCGTGGTCCTCCAGAGCGGCCAGGAGCTTGGTCCCCGCGTCGACCTGCTCGCCGTCCAGGAACAGCAGGTCGGCAAAGTCGCACAGCGCGTCGTCGCAGACTTTCAGGTTGGCCAAGGAGAGGCCTTGGCTTCGCCCGAACTCCCAGAACTTGTCGAGCCGCCGACAGTAGTCCCTCCTGACGGGAGTCGACGGGTGAGAGCTCTCCAGCACTGTGCGCTCGCCCTTCAGAGCCTTCAGGGCTGGAATCACGCCCCCTATGGCACGGGCCCGCTTCAGCGCCCTCTGACGCTTGAGCACCAGGCGTCGAGCCGACCGACGCGTCTTCTCGGCCAGCACCGTGTCCAGCGGGTCCGCCTCGCGGCGAGGTCGAGGGAGCGGCGCGCCAGCCACTGGGCGGCGCCGAGGGCGCGGCCCAGCCAGGGCAGTCGGGCCCGCCGAAGGCACCAGGCGGTTCATGATGACCACGCCCGCCGTCGGCGAAGGCACTGCCGCCTGGATCGACGGCCCGCCAGCTCCCCTTGCCATCTGCCTGCGCCGTCCAGGCCCGAGACGTGGAGCGACGAAGCAAACGTCGGCCATCGCTGTCAACTGGAAGCTCGAAGTAGCGTGAATCAGGGTCACTCGGGTTCAGCTCCGACGGCACCCACCTGAAATGGTGCCTGGTGTTGGAGGCCACGCTCAGAGCCAAAAGGCGACGGCAGGCACCCAGAAGACCTCGATGTTTGGCCCGACCCTTCTCGAAAGCCAGGATGGCGGTCATGGAGTCCCCGAGGTGTAGATGAGTCTTACCGAAACTTGAGACCGCCCGTAACTTATGACGCACCGCCAGCAGACCCGCGCGGGCCTCCAGACAGAATATCGGCTCCTCGTCCTTCCAAAAACTCCGAACGACCTTGGTCCAGGTGGGGCCCACTAGGTTCTCCTTCGGGACCTCTCTGAACGACTTGTCCAGCGACCAGAGCGACGACCTGTCACGACAAGGCTTGACGCTTTCGATGTCCCCCCAGTCCAGCGATGAGAAGTTGTTGTCCCTGGGCGCAACCCGATCGTACACATCCCACTTGAACCGCCACCTCTCCTCCCACTCGCATTCTGAACGAACCTGAGCCGAGTCCCAAGGCGCCGTGACGACCCCTGCCCCACACGTACTAGCGTCGAAACAGCTCACGCGCGGGTCGAAGTTCCTTCCCAGATCGGCGAACGCGAACGAGATAAGACACCCAGCGGCCCAGCACTCCCTAGCCACCGAGGGCCAGAGACGCACTCGAGAGGTGTAACTCGAACGAATGAAGTCATAGGCATTGTTAAAAATGGACAAGAACAGCCGATTAGGACCGAAGTGGAAGGTGGTATGGCCCAGAAGTCTCTCAACCTCCTTACCCGACACATACGGAGCACCTGCCAACCAATCCAAGACTGCCTTCAACTTCCACCTCTTCTGCCTTTTTCCTTGGACCGTGCTATGCAAGAAGTCGATCTCTAGGCCGAGCGTAAGAGCCCACTTGCTGGCGGACGTGCGCTCGTGAACCCGAAAGCCGACACTCTCGACCCCGTCGAAAACCTGGTTGGCGATCCTATCGGTCCGTGACTTACCTTGGCCAAAGATGCTAATGCTGTCAATGTAGACGTTGTAAGCGGGCCGATCGAGACCAGGAGGAGGCTTACAGGATTCCAGGAAGCTGTCGCCCCCGGAGCCCGAGAAACGATGCACCAGGGACGTTGTAGCAGACTGCGCAAAGTAACAGGCCCAAGACCACCCCATGGGAACGACCCTGGACTGTGGAAAGATTCTGTCACCTGGGAGAACAGGAACACCTTCGACATTGTGAATACCAGCCTGAAGAAGTCGCAGACCTGACACGGGCGGCAGGGGCAAATATGGACTAAGGCCTGGTGGAAGCCCGCAGCAATGAAAATAATCCTTCACGTCGCCGAGGGCCACGTGCGGGTCCCCGTCACCGCGCGAGTGCAGCAGCCGAGCCACATCAGCCGGCCCTCCCAGCCGAACGTAGGGGCTCTCACGCATCCTGCGATTACTCGGGCGGCAGTCAAGTATCAATCTCAAAGTGCCAGCCTTCTTCCTCACAAAGAAGGGTGTGGCGATGACATGGGACGTGCGGCCGAAGCGAAACAAACCAGACCTGTGACCCCTCATCACGAAGTC